ATATATATATATATATATATATATATATATATATATAGTATAATCTATAATATATTTAGGCATAGGCACTACTTATAGGTTTTATATCAAACATTCATTCTAATTGTAAGAAATACCCTTTTTTTTAAGTTTTTGTCAACCAGTCTCACAATAAAGTCTGTGTATTTTTCCAGAATTGTCTTTACAAAACACCCTCATAAAGTTTTATTTTCCTGACCCAGCAAAGTCTGAAGGCTGACGAACAGTTTGTATTTATAGCCAGAAAAGCAACATTAATGTACTGCATGCCAAGGCTAAGAACAAGGACTGCGGAGTTTCCTTGGTAATGTATAAAAGGATTGTATAGAAAACATATTCCAATGGTAAAGAGGCACTTCCACTAGAAAATTAGTACCATAAACAAATGCAGCATGTGACATTTACAGTGAGTTAAATTTAGTAATAGAGGATAATGGGGGTCCAAGGGAAACCAACAAGATACAAGTAGCTGATGATGTTTTGCAATTTTTCACTGAATGCTTTCAACAAGGGACTAAAGACAAGTGACAGTATATCGAATTAAGATTCTCTACTGCTTCATGAGTCATACTTTGCTAATCATATTTTTACATGACTGTCATAAGAAAAGCTTTTTTTTTTAAACTCCACAACATCAGTTAATTTCCTTAGTGATTGTGAGCAAGCTGCCATGATTTTCTTGCAGATGACAGTTCTGATGTCATCTTTTCCTAAATCATGGTAATTAACATTAGATAATTTACATTCAAAACACTATTGCCCCCGATTTCATTACCTAATCTAATTATAGTCATTTTCCAAACCATTAGCAAAATTTTATTATCATGGGTTAGCATAATGAACATTGTGAATGGACTCTTTTAAGAGTTACCCTAAACATCTGTTCATGCTAACACCCTATGTGAAAAGTGCACAGGATTGAAAAAGAAATCAATTTTCTGATAAAATTAACATAAGAAAAGGAATACAAAAAAAGGACATGTCATGCAGCAACAGTTACTAGGCATGGAGGCATTTAAAATGGGTGCTATGCAGAATGGAAATAGCTTATAGTATGGATGTTTAATTATATAGGACATGTTCATTACAGTTCCTATGATCAGCACTAGCACAGCCCTGTGTCTGTAAAAATATTCTTGGGATTATTTACTGTATGACAGGACTAAGCTTATTGCTAAAATATCCTTGTATGGTGACAGCCTTTTTGTTCCTGAGGTGAACAAGATAATGCACCACACCCTACTAAAATGACCTTGTACTACTAATATCCACTTAAAGTCGTAAATCACTGGAGTTTGAGTAGTTAAACCGTGATTGATGCCTACAGCTGCAACTGTTTTTTAGGTCCGATGGTAAGCTGTCTGTAAAAGCATTCCTAGCTGCTAAATAGCTGCTGGATTGCTTTTATAAGCAGCAGGAGGGGACTACCCCTCTCCCGCTGCCTTCTGCAGCTTTATCAGGATCACCCATCCCACCGAGAGTCACGATCGACCAGCCAGCACTTCCGCTGGCTGATCATGGAGCTGGACTGGCTTTGTTCAGCTCTTTGCATCATTTCCGGTTTACACAGTTAAACAGTGCCATTTTTAAAAATGAAAAGCATTTGATAACACTGATCTTGGTGTGGTCAAATGCTTCTAAGGGCAGAGGAGGGATGTGGGGTTTTATAGACCCCAGATATCTCCATAAAGAGTACCCTTCACATGCCTTTTGCTGTTACAAGGGGTGTTTACATTTCCTGTGACTGCAATAAAAGTAATAGAAAAAAAAATTTAAAGCGACTATGGAAAAATAAATAAATTAGTAAAAATTAAAATGGCCTTGTGCTTGTGTGCAAAGGCGAACACACGCACCGGTCCTGCATGCGCATATAAACAGCGATCATCCCACACATATAAGGTATCACAGCGAACGTCAAATCATAGACAATAATTCTAGCACGCCTCTGTAAATGAAGTGGTAACCTGCAGAGGCTACTTTAAAGCGTCGACCATGGATAGTTAAATTTACATTGTTTGTAACTGTTGCACGGATGCGCAATCGTTGCCCATGGATAGTAAAATTTAAATTGTTTGTAACTGTTGCACGGACATGTGCAATTTGTGACATGTTTTAATTATTTACTTGGCATAACATCACCTTTTATATTTTTGAAAAATGTGTACTTTTTTCCAAAAAAAAATGCATTTGAAAAGCCACTGCTCAAATACCGTGTGACAAAACATTGCAAAACCCACCTATTCACTAAGGCTTCCGCTTTAAAAAATATATAATGTTTGGAGGTTCTAATAAATTTTCTAGCAAAAAATACTGATTATTACATGTAAACAAAAAGTGTCAGAAAAGGCCTAGTCTTTTAAGTGAATACAGAAACCATTACACTTTCAATAGCTATAGCTTTGCTAAAGGCAAAATGAAAGAAGTATGTATTGCAAGCCTCACCATCGTGCTTTTAGAGATGTGGTAGAGAGAGATGTACCACATCTGGTAGAAAGGTTTGAGGGCTTGCAGCACCTCAGACCACACATGCCTGCACCTTCACACCTCAGATCACCCCGCACCTCAGATCATCCTGCACCTACAGTCCTCAGATTAGCCCCGACTCATGCAACTTTAAACATCAGATCAGCCCAATTCCTGCACCTTCAGAAATCAGATTCAGCCCCAATACATTCACCTTAAAACCTCTGATTGGCCCAAAACTATGTAATGATTATTCTAGCTAAGGCTGGATATATTTACAAAATCATCAACACCTGTCTCTCTCCTTTGAATCATCACTTTGTTCCCCCTGCACTGAAAACATTCCTTCCACTTTCAAACTGTGCCTCCCACATTTCCATGGCTTCATGGTTGCCATAATGACTCCTAACAGCATGCTTAGACAGAAGCATCACTAGAGGGTACTGCTTTGCCACCAGGAGACAGGAAATATATGAAGGGTGGCAGCCAATAGTAGCATGCCACTGAAAGGGCATTGTGTGTCTGCCTTTGCACACGTGGCAGGGTTTTTTGCCCCTGCTCTTAGGTTTTCATTTAATTTCCTTTCTCATGTTGTAGTGTTTGGTGTTATTATGACAATTTGAATTGTCATGGTCTTGGATCAGGCTCAGAGCCCAGTGGCTGTTGCAGTAGAGGAGTTCACAAAGTTGTCAAATGAATACATACACAAGCAGAACCCCCTAGTGAATGACAAGGGCTCACCTGAGGCACAGGGTCTAAGCCGGGGTGTCAGCAACCCGTGGCTCCAGAGCCGCATGCGGCTCTTTTTCACCTTTGCTGCGGCTTCCGGAGCACACTGCCCACCAGGTGAGAGGCAATAGGGTTGCCGTAGCTCAGTGGTTGGCAAGCTGCGGCTATTTATACATTTTAATGCGGCTCTTCTGTGTGCCGGGCACCCGCTCCCCTCCCTCCTCTCGGGCGGGCCACCCCAAAAGTCAGGACTCTGCAGCTAGCCCAGCAATGGGCAAACTACGGCCCGGCGGACCTTTTAATCCGGCCCGTGGAGCGTGGCAAACATTGGCTGTCAGGATGTAGGCGGGGCAGCGTGACGAACTCCTCTCCTCTCACAGTCCGCCCTGAAGACCGGAACGGCGTGGGAACACGGCGAGAGGAACGCGCAGAGCAAAGGTAAGTGAATTGACACAATATGGGGAATGAATTACTATAGGGGGAATGAATTACTATAGGGGGGATGAATTACTATATGGGGGATGAATTACTATATGGGGGATGTATTTTCAGTTTTTAAAAATGTGGCTCTCAAAATAAATTTAAATCGTGGTTTTGGCGAGATTTGGCTCAGTTGAAAAAAAAGGTTGCCCCACCACTGACCTAAGGCTATGATTGTGATTATGACGATACACTGTGGCCCTGATTAACCCTTTGCTTACTGGTCCCTTAAACCCCCTTCATGACCAGAGCGCTTTTTGCAATATATGCAGTGTCGGATTTGTTTTAAATGTTGCAATGGTTTTGCGGCTCCCAGTCTTTTTTCCCTCTCGGAAACGGGTCCAAGTGGCTCTTTATGTCTTAAAAAGGTTGCAGACCCCTGGTCTAAGCACTAGCCAGTCTTCCACAGAGCTTCTGATGGTGGAGGTTGATTTTGCTGTGTGCTAATTCCAGGTCATAGTTCCCAACAGGAAGAGAACAAGTGGGGGCCAGGGAGTGGATGAAGCAGATAGGGAACAAAGCAGAAGTGTAGTTGATGAACAGGCCAAAAGGTCAGTGATGAGTGGTAGTCGGATGGGATAAGACAGAAACATAGCTGATGAATAAACCAAGAGTTAGTAATAAGTGATAGTGAAGATAAGGACAGCAGCAGGTATACAAAGGAGCAATATAGTGCTAATTAAGTCAATGAGAGATGTCTTAATTAGCACTACTGAAGTTGCTCTGACTTTAAAAAAGGTTCCTGCACTACTTCAAGGTGACTTCTATCTGATTTGTGCCCCTAGACTTTAATCGAAGTTGCCTCCAAGTCAGATCCTCATCTATATTGACGTGATTTTGAGCTGACATTACAGGAAGATTACCCAGGCATTCCCTGAAAATCGCTTCAAAGTTGTATCAAAGTAGTACTCGAGTCGCCAGAAAGTCATTTGGCAAAGTCGCACTGTGAGTCATACGACTTTCAGATTGCAGTAATGTGAACCGAGACTAAGGTGTTTCAGTGAATAGAAAACATCTATGGAAGGAAACAAAGAGATCTTGATTTTAACCACTTGCCTACAGGGCACTTATACCCCATTCCTGCCCAGGCCAATTTCCAGCTTTCAGCACTGTTGCACTTTGAATGACAATTGCGCGGCCATGCAACACTGTACCCATATGAAATTTTTATCATTTTTTTGTGACAGATAGAGCTTTATTTTGATGGTATTTAATCAGCTCTGAGTTTTTTATTTTTTCTTAGTTTTTGTTATAAAATTTTGTAAATAAGTGATTTTTCTCCTTCACTGATGTGCGCTAATGATGCTGCACTGATGGGCACTGATAGGCTGCACTGATGGACACTGATAGGTGGCACTGATGGGCACTGATGAGGAGGCACTGGTAGGTGGCACTGATGGGCATTGACAGGCATCGCTGATGGGCACTGAAAGGCAGCACTCATATATGGCACTGATAGGCGGCACTGATAGGCGGCACTGATAGGTGGCACTGACTGGCACTGTTAGGTGGCACTGACTGGCACTGTTAGGCAGCACTGATAGGCAGCGCTGACGGGCATGGATAGGCGGCACTGATGCACACTGATAGGCGGCACTGACTGGCACTGATAGGCGGCACTGACTGGCACTGATAGGTGGCACTGATTGGCAGCACTGATAGGTGGCACTGACTGGCATTGATGTGTGGCACTGACTGGCACTGATGGGTGACACTGAAAGGCAGCTCAGATGGGCACTGATATGTGGCATTGATGTGGTACTGATGGGCACTGGCAGGTGGCATGGATGAGCACAGAGCTGGCACTGATGGACACTGAAAGGTGGTGCTGCTGGGGCTACACAGATCATCAGGGCACACTGATCATCAGTGCTCTGATGATCTGTGAACATGTCCCCTCCGAGGAATGCCGATTACCAGCTCTCCTCTCCTCACGAGCTGTCAGCATGACAGCTCGTGAGGCGAGAAATGCTGATAACCAGCATTTCCCTGTTTACATGTGATCAGCTGTGATTGGACACAGCTGATCACATGACCGAGCCGACATCTTTGGCTCTTTCCATGGATCGGTGATCCGCTGTGTCCGAGGGACACAGCGCACCGCTGATCACCGCGCTGTGCACTCCCGGAGCCGCGCATGGGAGGGTGAGAATGGGAGGACGTCATATGAGTCTTAAAGTGGCTGTAAAAGCTGTAGGTTTTTTTTCTTCATGCATAGATTGTGATCCAGCGCTGTGCACGAGAGCCTTGGCTCTTCCAGGTCACTCTCTCCTCATTGGCTAGGACACAGTAGTGGGGGCCATTGGCTCCTGCTGCTGTCAATCACAGCCAGTGAGGAGGGTGTTGGGGGTGGGGCTGAACCGTGCTCTGTATGTCTTATGAACACACAGGGCTGGCTCAGGAGTGAGCACGCACAAGTGCCCTCAAAGCAAGCAGCTTGCTCTGGGGCATTTGGTAGTGGGAGGGGCCAGGAGCGCTGGTGAGGGACCCGAGAAAAAAAGAAGGACCAAGATTTCTTGGTGCAAAGCTATTGCACAGAGCAGGCAATTATGACAGGTTTGTTATTTTAATTTTAAAAAAAAAACAAAGCTTTACAACCAATTTACCTAGGGTGGGATATTAAATTGTTTTCATAAAATAACCACTTGCCTTAAATTCACTAGTTATGGATATAATTAATATTACTTACAATAATAAGGCTATATATATATATGTGAGCTTGCTAGAACACAGCTACTGGCTTCTGCTTAATTTATGCTTCGTATTGTAGTTGCCACTGATAAGTACATCTTTATTTCAGGTAGTTTTCATTGGTGTACTAGGAACATGTGTGAAAAAAATGTTTGAGCATTCTGTACTTCATGGCTAAATAAAGTAAAAGCTTTTGGGAAGTATGTCTAAGGGGGTGACAGTTGTTTTCATTTGATGTCTAGCACATAGGTCACAAGCTGTTCACTCCACAGTTTACCGGAGAAAGAGAATTTCCATCATTCACATTGTAGCTGCTTCTGTATGCTTTTCTGAATGCTTTGTTTTATGTTACATTTTTGAACCATCTGTACCATCTGTAAAAGTACTTTGGATCGCTTCACTGTATGTTATGTAAGCTGTACCACTGTACTCTGTATGTTGTTGTGTATGTTACATATTCCAGACAATTACACTCTGCATGCTGTGCTATATGGTATGTACTCTAGATGGCCAAACCCTGTATGCTGTGCTATAAGTTACATATTCTGGACCTCTTTATTATTTACACTGTACTGTACTTTAAGTCATTTGCACTTCTTCAATATGTCCATTGTGTGGTACTTTACACACTTCACTCTGTTCTGCACCTCTTCATATCCACCTTTCGCACCCCTTTACCCCAGGTATGTACCTCTCTGACTCTTCCAGTTCCTCTTGTAGTGCCATGGAGTATGTAAAGTGCCAGTCACAAAACACCAAGATTCGGAGATTGATTTGCCATACCACACAAGCCTATTGGCAGTATCAACAGTACAAAGGACAAGGAACTGATAACAATGAGGTATGGTAACAGACACGGGGGGGGGGAGAAAATTAAGCAATTTTGTTAGACACTATGGGGTTTATTTACTAAAGCTGGAGAGTCCAAAATCAGACTCCCTTCTGCATAGAAACCAAACAGCTTCTAACCTCAGCTTGTTCAACGAAGCTTTGGCAATGAAACCTGGAAGCTGATTGGTTTCTATGCAGAAGTGAGTCTGATTTTGGACTCTCCAGCTTTAGTAAATAAACCCCCATGTGTTTCAGGTTGATGTAGTTATATGTGATAAGTGATATGTGATACATGATACTTCATTAAATTATGTTTTATTAAATAGTATTAGTTTGTGTCTTATAATGGGCATCAAGTTGTTACAGTGGGCAAAAAGCTTTACATGGTGTTTTCAACTGTATATGTGATGCATGATATACTAAACATATTACTGTTTACATAACAAAAAAAAGTGTTCTTTGTCTTGATCCCATTACTGGTTGTTCTTTGTTCTGTATTAGTACACCACAACCTGCTCAGGAAATAAAAATGTGCATTGATATATTTATCTTCCTAAGACATACTTTGCACAACAGTAATGTAATCATTTTTTATTATTATTATAATATAAGATTTATATAGTGCCAACAGCTTACGCAGCAATTTACAACATAAGGGCAGACAGTACAAATACAATACAAATGAATACAGAAGGATTCCGAGGGCCGGGCTCATTAGAGCTTACAATCTTACAAGAATTGTTACAACTATATCATACCTATTACAGTGCAAATTACTGTGGTACCCTGACCACTCCCTTTATCACTCCTCAATCACTATACCCATTACTAGATCCTTGCAAATGTTATAGTCATAAGTTATATATGCCTGAAGGAACACATTTTCCTGTTTGCCTGCATACTGTGAGGTTACAAACTTTATGATAATTTGAATATTTCTGTGATTTACTTTCTGCATGTGTGGCTGATAGTTGGGGCTAATAAGGTGTTTTAGCAGGTATGGGAGAGGGGAATTCTCTACATGTTTATTCGTAGTTCTTAGAAATGGCCCTGGCTTGTGGTTTGGGTACCTACTGATCTAAAGCTCTAAATAAGGGTTCAAGGAGTTTCACATTATCACCATGTAGGGGACATTTTGAAGTTGCAGGCAGTGTAACCATCCATGGTCATGACGTGCCACTGACCATCAGCCTTAGGGCTCATGTACACTGCAGCTGATAAACTCACGTTTAGGAGCTGTTCAGCATTTTTTTTCAGCAGCCCCTGAACTCACCCTAATGTTTTCCTATGTGTCCATGTACACATCTTCGTTTACAGTCATTTACAGGCATTTGAGTTACAGTTGTTTTTTTGAACGTACTAAACTTGCGTTCAGCAGTCAATTTTATCAGCGAAATGCTTGTAAACGCGGCTAAAAGCAGCTAAACGCGGCAAAATCACATTTATAAAAGTTTGCGTTTGAAATTTTTTTAACTCTTCCAGTTCATAATGCTGTCCAAAGCCTTTTTTTTCATCATGAAAAATGCATGCAAAGCATTTTCAAGGTGCTCAGATGGACATAACACTGCAGACAGGATGTTCCTACCAAGCTTGTCACACATTGTAATGACCAATTCACACCTGAGACCTCTCCCACCCTTGGAAACAAAAGATATGTTAATGATCATTCACACCTCAAATTCCTCATGAAGACCCCCCTTCCTGGTGACCTTAATGACTCACTCCAGCCTTCCCACCCTTGGAAACAAAAGAAATGTTAATGAGCAACTCACACCTCAAATTCCTCATGAAGACCCCTGCCAGGTGACCTTAATGACTTACTCCACCAGACACCTTCCCACCCTTGGAAACAAAAGAAATGTTAATGAGCAACTCACACCTAAGCTAATGTCAACACATACTGCTGTGTTTGCTTCTACTCTCTGTATTTCTCTGAAACAGTCTGAAATAATTAATAAGTTACCACTTTCAGTGCATTCTGGGCATATGGGAGGTTCTCCTGTGCTCATCTTTAAAAAACACTTCTAAACGCAAACACACATAAACACACATAAATACGTTATGCAAATGCGCTAAACAGACTTTTTTAACCTACGTTTTCCAGCAGTCAGTTTCCATCATTCAGAAGTGTCCCGTGTACATGGGGCATTAAACTGTAATATCTGCAACACTGATTTGCTAAAAGACAGAGAGCTTAAATCCGTATTAAACCCAAAACCAGAGATGTATTATATTGCAGCTTATCAATCATTAGATGTGATGGCTACATCAGTTTTTTTTTCTTTGGCTTTTTTCACCTGGAGATCTGGCCACTAACACACTTCCTGTATTGGTGAGCAGCACTCTCAGTTCTGGAAGGTGGGGGGTTAAATGTATTAGCAGATTTGAATACAATAACAAATTGAAGCCAAACTCTAGCCAACACTTTCTAATCATTTACACCAAACATTTTTTTTCCTTTTGGGATAAAGGTCTTACATGAATAAGTGAAAGCTGTTCATTTGAATCACCTCTGTCAGTAGTAAATGGTTTACAGATACATTGTGCTAGAGAGCTTGAACTTCTGAAAAACAGCAGAGTTGCTGGCTGAACCACAAGGTGAAAATAGAAGGAAAAAAAGCAAAGAAAGGAAAATAATGCAGCCATTATATCTAAGAAATGGTAATTCCAATATAATAAAAGTGTGCTTTTGGGTTTAATACTGCATTAATATCTCCGTTTTCTAGGCAATATTCCCAAACATTTTGGTAGGCTCACGGGTTAAAATGGCTGCAAAGTGAGCATACTAATTTTTACTAAGATACTGGGTGTCAGGGCACTAGTGTGAAAAGATCTGGGAAATGTGCCAATAACCAGCATGGTTGTGCTAATTTGCGCAAAAATGTGCACAGGCGCGCCCATGGTGCAGGCACATGGGTGCAGGCACACACAAGGTGCAATAATTACTGACACCCAATGGCCTTTATAAGGGCAGAAATCTTGCTCATAAGTTGCTGGATGATTGTCAACCCCTTGTTTTCTGTGTTCTTGTGTTTGCTGTTTTCTTAGATTATCTGTTACCGACTCAGCTTACTCTGGACCTGACTTGCTCCTGTCCTGGCTCTGACCTTGACTTGTTCTCATGGATTTGCTACTGCCTGCTTTCCTGAGTATGACCCTGGCTGGATCTTGACCTTGCTCCTGCTCTTGTTCCCCATATGAAAGAAAAATATATTTGAAATATATTTTAAAAATATTTTCCCCAAATATATTCACATATATTT